AGACCAAAAGCAAAAGTCCTTCCAGCTGTGAACCTGAACAACAAAACCAAATTTATCTACTGCCAAGATACAATGGTTGAACAGACATTGGGTATACATTCCCATTCCAAAAGGGAGGAATAGGCCAGAAGAAAGGAAAAACAGGCCCCAAACAAGTCCAAAACCCAGCAGGGCAGGCATTAAATCTCAAGGCTGGAGAATCGGGTACCTTGATTCCATGTTTGACTGTCTCTGCATACTGGTGTGGGGGTTGGGTCCCCAAGTCCTTAGGCAGCTCCGCTCCTATGGCTTTCCTGGTCTCAGGCCACACTTCACCTCTCCCAGGCTGGTGTTCCACTGTGGTAGCTCCACAGGTCTGGGGTCTTAATGGAGGTCCCACTCTCATGGCTTCACTAGGCATGACGCTGTTGGGGTTTCTCTGCTGCAACTCTGACCCCACATGTCTGTTTCAGAGAGGAAGTGCCAGGGTCCTATAAAAAACAAGCTCTCGCGGGAACTAATACAGCAAGAACTCACTCACTACCCCTCCTTCCCCAGGGAGAGCATTAATCCATTCATGACGGATCCTCCCTGGTGACTCAATCAGTTTCCAACACTGCCACATTGGGGATCAAATTTTCACATGAGTTTTGGAGGGGACAACACATCCAAACTCCATCATTCTGCCCCTGGCCCCCAAAACTCATGTCACTCTCACATACAAAATACAATCATTCTATTCCAACAGTCCCAAAAGTCTTAGCTTGTTCCAGCACCAACTTAAAAGCCCAAAGTCCAAAGTCTCATCTGAGACCAAAAGCAAAAGTCCTTCCAGCTGTGAACCTGAACAACAAAACCAAATTTATCTACTGCCAAGATACAATGGTTGAACAGACATTGGGTATACATTCCCATTCCAAAAGGGAGGAATAGGCCAGAAGAAAGGAAAAACAGGCCCCAAACAAGTCCAAAACCCAGCAGGGCAGGCATTAAATCTCAAGGCTGGAGAATCGGGTACCTTGATTCCATGTTTGACTGTCTCTGCATACTGGTGTGGGGGTTGGGTCCCCAAGTCCTTAGGCAGCTCCGCTCCTATGGCTTTCCTGGTCTCAGGCCACACTTCACCTCTCCCAGGCTGGTGTTCCACTGTGGTAGCTCCACAGGTCTGGGGTCTTAATGGAGGTCCCACTCTCATGGCTTCACTAGGCA